TCACTTACCTCGACTTCATACAATTTAATCAAATAGTATGTCTTTTCCTCGATTTTGAGACTCCGATCGACTCGAATCTAGTCATAATTAATTCGATACAGTCAAAAAAAATTATAGAATTAATTCCATAAGAAAATACTATATTTTTCAATAAAAATCCGAAATTAACTCAAAAATTGCCCGTGGGCCCACGTCTCGAAATCTCATAAAACTCACAAAATCCGATAACTCATTCAATTACGAGTCCAACCATACCAGTTTTACTCAAATCCGACTCTGAAACGACACCGAAATCTCAAAAATTTATTTCTATGAGATTTCTAAACTTTTCCCAAATTTCTATATCAAAACACTAATTAAATGGTGAAAACAATGATATATTCGTGTATATTGACCAAATCCGAGTTAGAATCACTTACCCCAATATTTTTCCTTGAACATCTATCAAAAATCGCCTCTGTTCAAGCTCCAATTTGTCAAAAGTGGCGAATGGGACGAAGTCCCCTCCTTTATAATTCTGCCCAGGCAGCCCTCGATCATAGCCTCGAACATGGGCCTCGATCGTGGCTTCGATCATGGCCCTCGAGCCCGGGCCTTCGATCATGGCCCTCGAGCCTTGCCTTCAATCATGGCCCTCGAGCCTGCCTTCGATCATGGCCCTCAAGCTTTGCCTACGATCATGGCCCTCGAGCCTTGCATTCGATAATGGCCCTCGAGCCTGCCTTCGATCATGGCTCTCGAGCCTGCCTTCGATCATCGGCTCGATTTCTGGGCAGAAGAATATTTGCAGCAATTGTTTAAGTCCCACCTTTTGATCCGTTAACCATCCGAAACTCACCAGAGGCCCTCGGGACCTCAACCAAATACACCAACAAGTCCTAAAACATCATACGAACCTATTTAAACCTTAATTCACATCAAACAACGCTAAAATCACAAATCACACCCCAATTCAAGCTTAATGAAACTTAAGAATTTCCAACTTCTACATTCGATGTCGAAACCTATCAAATCAAGTCCGATTGACCTCAAATTTGCACACAAGTCATAAATGACATAACAGAGCTATGAAAATTTTCAGAACTGAATTCCGACCCCGATATCAAAAAGTCAACTCCCCGATCAAACTTCCAAACTTAAATTCCTATTTTAGCCATTTCAAGCTTAATTTAACTACGGACTTCCAAATAAATTTTTAGACATGCTCCTAAGTCCAAAATTATCATATGGAGCTATTGGAATTATAAAAATTCTATTCCGGGGTCATTTGCATATAGGTCGACATCCAGCCAACCTTTTCAACTTATGTTTTAAACTTTAGAACTAAGTGTTCCCATTCATTCTAAAATCTCTTCGGACCTAAACCAATTACTCCGGCAAATCATATATCAATTATAAAGTGTAGAATGAGCAGTAATTAGGGAAACGGGGCTACCACTTTTAAAACGACTGGTCGGGTCATTACAATTACCTTCTCTTTCGTTAATCTTCTTAATTCTTTCCTTTTCTTATTATTCATATATAATTTAAGTGTAAAGATTTATATAAAATAAAATATTAATATTTTTAAAGTTCTAAGTATTAAGATTTTCTACGTTGTCCAAATAAGGAAGAATATAATATATAAAATTTAGTTGATTTTGTAGTCCTAAATATTAGGAAAATAATTAAATGAGTATTCCTACATATTAGGAAAATAACTAAATTATTATTTTATCCAATGTAAACTCTATTTTAAAGGGTAAAAAAGGCGAACGACATTTCGCTAAGAGCATTCGTGCTTTTAATATAAATATATATAGATGAGAGATTTACTTTTAGACGTAAGAGATCTGTCTTTTACACATAAGAGATCTAAAAAGGTCATTTTCTTATATTTAAAATTGTAATGGTGCATGATGTACAATATCACAAATAATTTTGTGGGAGAAAGAGATTACATGTTTGATACAGTGATACTTGAGATGAAGTTATGATAAAAAATTTATCTCACTTATTTTAAATTTATCCAAAATTCCAAATCTCTTTTTCCAGGTTTTATTTTTTTAATAATTATAGTTTTTTTAAATACTTATTTTCCTATTTTTAGATTACGTTGGATTTTTTGCTGGTATTATTAAAAATACAAAAACAAATCAGGGTTCTCTCAACGATAATATTTATTGGACTAAGATAAGCCAGCTGATTTGCATGCGAAACCTTATCTTCTTGATAATGGATGATACCTTATACAAACCTAATGAATTTCCTGCGTTTTAATCTGAATGCTAGTGAAATCAACTTTCTTGAACGTTAAATGAGATGACAGCTTCTAGGAAGATTGGTAGATGTGAATCTTGTTTACTGTAATTAATGTTTTAAGAGTAACTGATCTTAAATCAATATTAATAAACAGCAGGTTCTAAGGCAAGTGAATTTAAAAGTACTCTTTTTTAAAGAATTATTTTTACACTACTATAAAAGACGAAACAACTTAATACTAGAAGCAATCACAAATTTCTTTCCAGATATCAAAGACCATAGCACTCGAGAAACTCTTTACAACAAAAAGCTTTGAGATCACAAAAGGGATGAAAAAAGGTATCAACAAAATTAATAACTTCTCTATGAATTGCCAAAACCTAGCCACCAATAGAAATCCCAGATCCAAAAAACAACTTGACTTAGTTACAGAGTACAACTGTAGTTGCAAGTGTAAAAATAATTTTCTATACCAATGGCCATCATGTCCAGCTATATTCCTATCTAATGATGCAAATGAGAGGGTCAAAAGAAATAAAAGCCCGACCAATTCATATTTAATACACGTAAAAAATGAGTTGATTATTACTCAAAATCAATAAAATCACATCTCATACTGGTACTTGAGATTCTTTTGGTTTGTGGTTAGTTTATTATGTCTCCATTTTCTCATTTTATGATTCTTTCAATGTTTGAGTTTACATCGAAAATGAAATATTTTAAAAAATAAAATTTACTCTAGAGAAAAAGGTAAAAAAGAAAGTACCTTACAATATCAGAGGTAAATGCTGTGATTTTCTGTGGTATAAGCAAATTTATTACTCCCTCTGCCTCTACCCTGGGAAACACTATCTCATATCTGGATCTGGTGTTTTAACACCAGGTTCATTCGAATTAGTATTTTCCACGTGGAATATTATGTGAAAATCCGGGAAAGTTTCAACAAATATTTGAATTCACCTCGACTTGCCTCATTATGTGTAGTTCAAGACGAAGGCATATTCAAATCGATGGCTATTGTTATATAATATCTATAGACTATAGACTTTTATTAATAATCAAAAGTTAAGACAGAGCTAAGATACTAAATTAGGAGAGAAATTTTAAATGATCTCAATCGTTTTCCTCTTGAATAAGAAGCTACTTCAGCTTTACAAAGAGCTAGGAGTTTCTTAAACATTTTGCATATAATTAATTATATTGCAAGGCTGGATTTTGACTTGCTATTGGTAATAACTCTAATGCGTCAAATCCTAACAGTTCAGATTCAATTATGTAGTCCCATAAATGTAGTTGGGATTCCATATTATTGCTGCAAGATGATCCATAAAGCAATTCCTTTAGCTTATCAAACAGAGTTGCAGCTCTAAATTCCATTGTTGAATTCCTGTCCATCTATACACAGACACACACCAACAAAAAAAAATAGACAAAATGTTATGCTTTTACTCTTGCAAAAAGAATTTTTTATTCATGTCCATTCTCTAAGGTCATTTTTAGTACTAATTATTTCTTGATTTAGACAAGACACAACCAAAAGAAAGTGGCGTTGTGTGTTTGGTAGGGCGGAAATCATTTTCCGGGAAAATATTTTCGGAAAATGACTTATTTTTAGGGGAAAAAAAAATTCGTGTTAGATTGGAGAGTGGAATATATTTTTTGGAAAAAATATTTAATTATAGAATGATACTAACATTAGCAAGCCGGAGAGTAAAGGGCAGTCCGGATACTAATATTTAATTGTGAAGAAAAATGACTTTAGCCAAAAAGTGGAGAATTTTTTTGCCTCCTTTCAATGAAAGAAAATATTTTTTGACAATTAAATACCAAAAAATGACTTATTTCCTCGAGAACATTTTCCTTTTTTTATTTAATTTTTTGGGCCATATCAAGTAGTTATTGTTTCATGGGGTTAATTTCAGTGATGGTCATTGAATTATCTTTCAATTTCACTAAAGTCATATAACTATTTTTTGTCACTTAAAAGTAACTAAACTTTATCATTGTCACTTAAAAGTTATTTTGCCTCAAACCCCTACCATAAATATGACATGACATTAAATTTTATGATAAAAATTCAAAAATAAATGCCACATAAGCTAATATGAGTCATACCCATTTTAGATTCATTTATCCTTTAATGTGATTTGATCCATAATCCAAATGAGTTTCGATAAAAAAAAAATTAATTCCACATTAGTTTAAAATGATTATCCTATACTACAAAGTCTTGCCTTTTCTATCACAGCACATTCATAATTATTCTATACTAAAATAATCTATGCTAGAAAATTCTTATCTTGCTGGTATGCCCCATCTGAGTCATTTTATAACTCTACTGAAGCTAAAATACTATTGTATATAATAGTATTTTAAAATGACTCGGATGGGGGCATACAAACAAAATAAAAATTTTCTAGCATAGATTATTTTAGTATAGAATAATTATGAATGACTCGGATAGGGCATACAAACAAAATAAGAATTTTCTAGCATAGATTATTTTAGTATAGAATAATTATGAATGTGCTGTGACAGAAAAAGCAAAACTTTATAATATATGATAATCATTTTAAACTAATATGGAATTAATATTTTTTTTTTTATCGAAACTCATTTGGATTATGGATCAAATCACATTAAAAGATAAATTGATCTAAAATGGGTATGACTCATATTAGCTTATGTGACATTTATTTTTGGATTTTTATCATAAAATTTAATGCCATGTCATATTTATGGTATGGATTTGAGGCAAAATGACTTTTAAGTGATAATGATAAAGTTTAGTTACTTTTAAGTGATAAAAAATAGTTATATGACTTTAGTGAAATTGAAAGATAGTTGAATAACCATAAGTGAAATGAACCCTTGCTTCATGGGTATACTTACCTTAGTTTCAAGAGAAATCTGCAAAGTAGAATTTCCATTGAGTGAAAAGCTGGAATATAAAACTTCAACACCTTCCTCATTTAATAATCGAATGATGTTATAAAATATAGCTAAATTATCAAGTCCAGTGATCAAAACAACGAACATAGTTGGACTCATTTCGTGAAATTCAATCTGAGGGAGTGATTTGGTGCTTGAGCTGGGCAGCTCATTAGTTGCTTTGACTGATCGGGGCCTTTTTCTGCAGCTAATCCTTAATTCTTCTAAGTACATCTTGTTCTTCTCCAATTTGGTTTCTAAGCTTTTTATGTAATTTGTTGCTGCATCTATTCGATCTGGCAATGCCAATGTTTCCTGCAGCATTCAACGCAAATGATATCTTAGGATTCTAGTGCATTTGAGTAGAAGAAAGAAACATGAAATTGATGTAAGCTGAGTAGAGTAAATAAAAGACTTAAAATTGTGTCAAAATGGTAACCTTTTATTCCATATACTATTCTAAGAATTACAATAAATACAATATCTTGTTTAGATATATAACATATACAAAGGATCTATACTTAGAAGGTAATAACTATTGTACATATGTTTAGGATGTGATCTTGAAATCCATAATTGAAGACAAATAAGAACGGAATATCTGTAATCTCTCTATAATCTCTCCACAAATCTTCTGTTACAGCTCATGCCGTAAGATATGACACTTGGGCCTAACTCAACCCCTCATGCCGTAAGATATGATACTTGAGGCTAACTCAATCCCAAAAGCTAGTTCGAAGGAAGGAGGATTGACCAACCCTTATAAGGAGACTAGGGATCTCATCCAGGTTCGATGTGAGACTCATTCCATTCATCAAATGCCAACAAATTGAAATGTTGAATTTTAAGATATTAGTACTGAACTCATTGCATTTTAAAATTATAGGTTCAAAAGTAATATAATCTTTAGTAGTTTGTGCGCGCACTCACAATCAATATCAATATTCTTTGTCAAAATTACTCGTTCAGTTGAACCCTTAGAAGAAAAGCGCCATCTTTATATGAAGCTGAGAGCAAGTGATCAGTCAATCAGAAAGTGTCTAGGATTTTAAGCCTGTGAATACAAGTGCACTTGAACGGGGGATGGGGTAATTAGAACAATTGGAAGAGAAGGAAAAGGAGAAAGAATATACCTTACTAGAGGCATGATTAAGGAGCAGGGAATGAAGCTGATTATAGAGGTTCTTCATATTGTTCCTTCTATTCTTCTCCACATACTTTCTTTCCAATTTTGGTGCTGAATTAGACCTCAAGCCACTTTCCATTTTTCCTGATGATCAGTACTACTATTTTTAGAAACTTTTCAGTTTTCTGCAGGTTCTTGATGATGCAGCTTTTTACCTAATTTAGGAAGTTGCAAAACTGCAAATGAAGTTTAATTCTAAGAAGGGATGACAGTGGATAATAATTTATTATAGAACGCATTTTATAGATTTCCAGATAGTCAACAAGAAAATGAAAACAGAGTCAGTGACGGACTCTCAGTGACGTTATTAATGTGGTCATATGTAGTACTTGCCACTTTTCAATCTCTTTTCTTTTTCTCTCTATCAATTAAATTAGTAGGCGTTTGGACATAAGAATAGTAAAATTCGATCAATAATTTTATGTCCAAACGGGCTCTTAATGTGAGAATCAATAATTTTCACTTTCTAGTTTGACTGTCAAAACTTTAAACACGTGCAAATATAAATCAAACAATAGAGATTGCAAAATCTAAGAACTAATTGGAGCTACGTTAAATCAGTTGATATCCTGGCAGCTGGGGAAGTCCAATTTGGCGGAGACGAAAGGATAGATTATTCGACGCGTCCAATTTCTTTTCTAGAAAGATAATCTGACTTGATACGTGGACCAACGGCAAAATTGTTTTCGTACGACATATATAGATTATGAGTTCGAACTGTGAAAGCAGTCACTAATGCATACATTAAGATTATAAGCATATATAGAGTATAGTATATGGGTTCCCGGGAACCCAGTAACTTTTACGTAGATTATGTATTTTTATTAAAAAATTTACTAAGTATCTATACATCTAACTTTGAACCTAGTTATTATTGTATATTAATTTGAGATTGCGACAGGAACCCATAAACTTCAAATCTTGGATCCGCCTCTGATTATGATAGACTGTCTACGTCACACCCCTTGGAATGTGGCACTTCCTCCGACTTAGCATAAACACGAGTTGCCTTGTGCACTGACTGCCCTTTTATACTTTGTTAAAATCAATATAGGAGTAACGAATTACATACTTTGGGCTACATTAAATGTATTTTAAAAAATAGTTATATACGACAAACATATAATCATTGTAAACAATACAAAAATATTCTTTTTTTAATTTATGTGAACCTATTTAACTGGATACAAAGTTTAATAAAGAAAAAAAGAATTTTTAAATATGTGGTCTTAAATATATCATAATATTTATATGGTTGCCAGACTTTTAAAACTTGTATCTTAAATCTGACATAATATTTCAATAGCTATAAAAGGTTTTTATTGAGGATAAAATAAACGGTTGATTTTAAATTATATTCAAATTTTTAAAAAAGTCATTCTTTTTAAACAAACACAATAGGAAAAAGGTTCATATATAGTGAAAACGAAAGGAATAGACCAAAAAAAGGCAATTCGCGTACACTATTTACTCCAAATGCAACATTTGTCTTATCCTTTTCTATTTTGTGGGAGTGAGAGTGTGAATCCCACTCTGCTTTCGCACCTTTGAATTTCGTTAAGAATAAGATTCATTTGCCTTAGTTATCAATGTATAACCACTATTCCAATTTCGGACCGACAGTAATTGCAATTAATCAATAGACCATTGACACGGTCACAGTAAAAATGCACCAATTGAAATGGATTTTTCATGAAAAAGAAAGGTGCAAGACTACTTTTTGGACAAAGAACATAACATGAGAAGTTCCTTAGGAAAGTTCACAAAGTGGGCAAACTAAACATTACAACTAGTTCAATAACTGCTCGCCACATGGCCGACAATCATAGAATTCTGCAGCTTTCTCATCCTTCCTCAGATATTTTTGTGTGTTGCATTCGTCGGCCAAAGTTCCTTTGCGGCAGTGACGACCAAACTACAAATTTCTCAAGGTTATTCAATTTTGAAAAAATTAAAAAATCATTCACAAAAGGTGTTCAATATATATTATATACAACTAAAATTTAATACTTTATCTATATATACAGTATAATTTTTCGACGAAGGCCTTGAGTAAATTTGGCTTCGCCTCTGTTTGTGGGTCAGAAATTAATTTAAACTTGAGAAATTTGAATATATATATTGGCAAAGGTGAATCTAAGATTTAAAGGTACCGTGTGCCGTAATTTTCTTTACTATACTTAATGTAATGATTAATATAGAGTTTGTTTGGAATGTTTATTTGGTTTATATTTTAGTTTATTCGAACCAACTTTAGGTAGTTTTTATTTGCAAATATCAAAATTACGTCTCAGATATAAAAAAAACATAATTAGTATTTTAAATAAGAATCACACCTTAATTATTAATAACAAAAGTAAAATTAATATTTTCACCAAGAAATTACTTCTTTTTTATACTAAAATAAATTTGCATAAATAAGATAATACCTTCAACGAGGGAATTGCATAAATTAGAATAAAAAACAAAAACAAACATCTTCAATAGATAAATTATACCTATAAATAAATATAGAATTAGATAAAATACAAGTTCCACAAATCAAAATCATAAATCTCATGTTTTTCCTGAGCGATGCTTACGAAATTTTCATCATAATTTAATATTAAAGAGATTTGAATTGATTTATGTCACGACCTCAATTTCCCTCCGTAGGATGTCGTGATGGCACTTAATCTCTACGATTAGGTAAGCCTAGCAGTTAATAACAACTTGACAGAAATAATTAACAAAACTACTAAAATAAAGCTGAGTAACTGATATAAACTCCTGAAATAGAGTGAGTCTCAACAAATATATTCCCAAAACTGGTGGAACTGAGTCATAAGCTCTACAGAGTAAGCTAAAGTGTCTAGTACATTACTGTCTGACTGAAAATAAATACAACAGTAGTAAAAACAAAAGAATGTGACTCTGAGGCCTGCAGACGCCGAGCAGGCATACCTTGAAGTCTCTGTTAGGTAGCTACAAATGATTTCTAACGACCGACACGAGCAGATGTATCTGGATCTGCACAAAAATTATGCAGAAGTGCAGTATGAGTACACCACAACGGTACACAGTAAGTATTAAGCCTAACCTCGGTAGGGCGGGTTTTTATTAGGGTGGGGCGCACTACTAAAAAAATAAATTTGCGACCGTCAAATCAGTCAGAAATCGTATTTTTCTTACGGATTTTCGACTAAAAAGTCTCAGTCGAAAAATACGTGGTCGCAATATATTTGCGACAGAATCAGTCGAAAATTTGCGATGGATTCGATCGCAAACTGAAAAATACGGGGACATTTGAATTTAAGACATTTGTGACCGAATCAACCGCTAATTAGAATTAAAAAAACAAATACATATTAAATGTTTCGATTGATTTCATCGGAAAATTAAAAAATAAAATTAATTATTAATTAATTATTCTGACTGAAACAATTATAAAAATTGAGAATTAATTAATTAAAATTTTCAAAAATTCTCCATTAGCGATTGATTCAGTCGCAAATCTTAATTAAATTTTATTAGAAATTCTCAATTTGCGATTGAATCAATCACAAATCTGGATAATTTCTGGTGAAATTTGCGACTGGTTCAATCGCAAATCTTGGCATTTTTAGCAAAATTCTGCTGTATTTTTAATTACACCACCTACCAAATAAAACAGCCAACCAATTACCTAACAACCAACAAAAAACCTAATATAACGATCCAAATCTAATATTTACTACAAAACGAACGATAATATTTATAACAATTCAACAAACTAATCAAACAACCAAATATCAAACAACATTAATTACACATGTCTCTAACTTCAACTCTCAAATATTCAAATAGCCAATTCAGAATCAGTCTCCTCCTTAGACTCAGACTCCATTGCAACTCCTTTCTTGCTTTTCTTTTTTAATAATTTTTGGATCAAAACCTGAGTTACTTGAAATTCTTGCGACATTGTATCCACTTTTTGACGCATAACTTCCATGTCTTCTTGAAAAACTGATGCCCCAGTGAATAATGTTGCTGGTGGACGACTGGAGGATGGCTGCACTCCAATCCCGTAGATTCGACCTTTATTTATTATTTTCACGAAAAATAAAGAAAGGAAAGTAAAATAAGTAAGAAAACAAAAACGCAACTTTCAAACTAATACCAAAATAGATAATTACATAATATTTATACCTTTATTCACGCCACCCGCCTCCCATGTCCAAATTGTAGTCATATCCTCCAGGGTCGGCTGAGTTCCTTCAGGCTGAGTTTGTCGCCATGCATTAAGACCTCAACATAAGTCACATCTCCCCCACGTTCCTTTTCCTGAAAATTAAGAAGTAATTATATATATANCATTCTCAAACGATAGGCTGCAAAACTAATAGAACCTCCAGTATACAATGCTCCACCCTTAGTAGAAGCTCTATTTAACTTTGCATGTTCACTCTTATTCTTCCACTCAAGGGTGTTCCACTTCGCCAAGAGCTGACTCCAGATATCTTTACGTATCCAATCAGGCTTGGTGCCACCTCTCCTAGCAACATGATGTGAATCCGTTATCTGCTTCTGTGCTCTCTTCTCGAAGTTCTCATTCACCAGATTTTCAAGTGTAGGCTGCCATATGCACCTGACCTGCTAAATTGAATAAATAATATTGGACAAATGAGGATAAGTATTAATAAAAATTAATTTATTCTTACCTTAAATTGTTGTCACATATTCAATCTGATATGGTATGGTATCTGTCTCCAGGAATTTCACGACTCATGAAAAAATGGCTTCATAGATTCCATCGCCATATGCGTGGCCTGAAAGGATGGCAAAAACCTGCATTTAATTTAACATATAAAATGTCATTAAATTCATTAAATGCAAAAGTTTATTGAAAGATTTTAAAAGGAAATTAAAAGAAAACTCACTCGTCGCCATAGGGAACGATAATCAGCCGATGAAGATGATCGTACTGTACAATCCCTCCAATATACTGTCTCACGGTACCGACAACTGTAGAAGTAATGGTAGATAGGGATGTAGTTGCGTGAGAGTCTCCAATATCCAAATTAGATATACTTGGAGTGGATGATGATGGAGATCATAATTGAGTGGGCATGTATGAGGCACAAAAGATGAACCACCATGCTGGCTATTAAGATTGCTCGGGGATGCAATCAGTGGCGAGCCACCGAATTGACTAGCAGGA